AACACCAAATCAAGGGTTAAGATCCCCTTACCAGTCATCTTTAAAAAAAAAAAAAAAAAAGAATTTTAATATGGTGCCTAGCACATAGGAAGAATCCAACAAATATTATTTAAGTATTTTTTTAAGAATCAATTTCTCACAATCACACTACTCACAAAGAATCAGCATTATATTTCTTCCCAGTCTTCTTAAATATTTGCATATTTATTTATGTATGTATATGTAATATATATACATACATTACATACCTTTTCAAACAAAAATTGTAATTTTTATTTTACTTTTCAACATAATGCATTTTTCCATACTATTAAATATTTTTCAAAAGCATAATTTTTAATGACTGTCCATTATACAGATATACCATTATTTATTCAGGTATTCTCTTGAGTTATTTTCAATTTCACAATTATAAATAATGCTATAATGAGCATCTGTGCATGTGGTACTAATACAGGTTAATGACAAAAGTAATGTATTTAGATTTGAGAGGAAGCTAAGCTAGGAAAGAGCACAGCCTCTGGAGCCATACTACGGTGAGTTCAAATCTGGTCTTATTACTCTCTGTGCAAGCTTTAGCAAGTTACTTAACCTTTCTGTGACTCTTTTTCCTATAGTATAAAATGTGGATAATAAAATAATCTACCTCTTATAGAGCTGCTATGCAGATGAAATGAGTTAATACATGTGAAAAACCCAGAACCGTCTCTGGCATATATTAAGAACTTAATAAGTTATCATTTGGATGTTAGAACATGTAAGATGTTAGAAAATGTATACATTTTCCCCACCACAAGCAGTGGTGATAATAAAGTTGACATTAATGGAGAGAAGCAGATGCTAAGTGTCCTGTGAAATACCCTCAATAGTTAGAGACAGAGGTAAGAATTAAGATCTGTGGAGTCCACAGCCCAAGACCTTCCTTTCAGAATACATTACACTCCAGGCAAAGCAAAAGGAAACAAAGCGAAAATAAAACTATTGGGTGAGTTAACACACAGGGGTTGGCTGCAGCATCCAAGGTGTATATTACATGAATTTGGGGTAGGTTATGAAATCCTTTTCTCTGAAACTGAAGCTATACAAACCAATGTAAAATGAATGAGATCAGACACAAGTAGAAAAAATTTACCCTGGGATGAATTCTTCCTTCATTAAATTTAATTCAACAGCATCTGCTGAGCAGCCTACGGTGTGCTAGGCATTCTGCTAAAACCCAGGGATATAAAGATGCGTAATTAATTCCTGCCTTCAAGAAGCTCACAATCCAGTAGCTTCCTAGATGAACAAAGGGAACAAGAAAAATCTGGGCAGAACAAACCATGTGTGTGAAGAGCACCAAGCTAAGGAAACTTTCCAGGTAGTTCAGCAGTAGTGGATATAGAATTCTAAAGTTCGGTGGTATAGGCTGGGNATGAATTTGGGGTAGGTTATGAAATCCTTTTCTCTGAAACTGAAGCTATACAAACCAATGTAAAATGAATGAGATCAGACACAAGTAGAAAAAATTTACCCTGGGATGAATTCTTCCTTCATTAAATTTAATTCAACAGCATCTGCTGAGCAGCCTACGGTGTGCTAGGCATTCTGCTAAAACCCAGGGATATAAAGATGCGTAATTAATTCCTGCCTTCAAGAAGCTCACAATCCAGTAGCTTCCTAGATGAACAAAGGGAACAAGAAAAATCTGGGCAGAACAAACCATGTGTGTGAAGAGCACCAAGCTAAGGAAACTTTCCAGGTAGTTCAGCAGTAGTGGATATAGAATTCTAAAGTTCGGTGGTATAGGCTGGGTTGGGGAGATAGATCAAACAGTCATTAGCATACAGATATTAGTGGAAGCCCTAGATATGAAACAGTAGTTTTCAAAATGAAGTCCACAATTGCCAAAACACTTTGAGGGACTGGTCCATGAAGCCGAACAATTTCATAATACTACTAAAAATTATTTGCTTTTTTCACTTTCACTCCTTCATGAGTCGACAATGGAGTTTTCCTGAGGCTACAGGAAGACGTGATAATATCATTACTCTGATGGCTAATGGAATACATGTTTTTTTTTTTTTTTGTCTTTTGTCTTTTTCCGTGTCCGGCAACGGATCGCAACCCTCAGTGTTGCCCCCGTACCGGACCGGGGACTGGCAACGG